AATAGCACCATTGATGACAGCACAATTTTACAATAAAGCTTTCTTCTCCAGGCCAGTTGAGGTAAACTTTTTTCCCCATAATATGTAGCAGCAATTCTCCCATCCCCCTTCTCCCTCCCCTTTTCTTCTCATCACTGCCATGTCACCACAACCCTCTCCTTTCAAATCTCAGGTGATGAGTGATGATGGACATAGAATGCTAAACTATGGAGTCCTTCCAGTTATTAGCAAGCCTATTTAAATACCTTTCTGCATAGTACATTTTGGCTAATCACCAAACTGTTGACCAAATAGAGATGCATTTAGTTATTTATTACTGAGGTGGTGTCTACAGCAGGGAAATTAACTATTCCACCTGTGCATATGGAAATTTCTACACTTATGACTTACAAGGTCAACAGGAATATCACTCCAGCAAGGGTTAAACTGAGATGGCCCAAGTAGGCTCAACGTCATTGCACATTATTCACTAGAAACAGGGTCCAACTTTTTATGACATTTCGATATATTGTGACTGGCCTAATGGAAATGACAAAAATCAAGTGGACAGAAAATAAATCAACCGAAAAGAGTATAGAAGCCTTACATTGGAAGGGATTGTAGAAACAGTAGGATGCTCTTGCTCAATTTCTGTCAATTAAAAAAATGTTAACTAAATTTATGAAGCAAAATACTGATAGTTGTTCTATCAATATTGATAAATATTATATCACAAATGAATCTTCATATCATAAGCTCCCCCAAACTGTTTGATCATCAGACAAAAAGAAGAAATGAATTAATGCAGGTACATGCTAAGAAAGATAAAACTGTAAATTAACATAACAAATAAACGTGGTAACGTTATATTCAGATCAACTCTGGCGATCATTTCCTTAGTATTGAACTAAAGTCTCATAATCATCAGATCAAACAAATATCCTAATGAAAATATTACAGCAAATGAGCACGTCCTTTGATATCTTAAAGGGCAAAGGCATAAGTACTAACAATATACTTACTTCAAGAAGGACATGCATGCATTTGCAAGAAAGTTAGCAACAATTAGCAGATTCATCCAACACAAGAACAAACTAAGCACTGTCACACCATAATCCCGAGCAAAAAAATTGAATTCCAGTAACAAATACCTGTTTGAGGGATCTACATTTATTTGAGCCCTTCGGATAAAGAGTCCAATCCTACCAATGAGGCTAAGTGTAGGTCATACCATAAAGTTCCAATATACTAGCATACTATCAAAACATAACCCACCATATGTGTTTGTCATACAATAAAGTAGATGGTATACTGCAGTTTCAGGGATGCTTAGCAAAACACATTGTTTGAAGTTTATAAAAATGAATTAAGTCAAAATCACATGCTAGAGAAAGAGAATTCATTTTAAATGAGGAATAGCTTGAAAGTCACAGTGAATTAAGCATTGTGACTTTCACATACGCCTCAAATCCCCTCTATATCTAAAAGCCATAAACAATGAGATTCAGTACCAAAAGTTACAAAAATACATCAGTCTCAAGTATGGAATTCAGGAATTCCATCATTAACCAAGAATGCAGCCTCAAAGAGAAGTCTTCAAGAAATGATGATAGAATAAGAAAGAACATATTGCTATCTTGTAGGATAATATGATATCCAGAGCTCATAATATACGTCACATAAGGATGAAATGAGAACCCAATTGAAGATCAAATTTAAATTACCGGACTTCTTATTACATCATATTTATAATATAGGCCTCCAAGCAGCCAAAAAAATCAAAATCAAAATTTTATCAATCGCCACTAGCATTGCAACAAAAGTTACAAACTTGTGCCTAAATTCTCACACACGAGAAGCTTTGACGATAAAGTATACTCTTTGACTACATAATCATAAATCCAATAGCCGCCAAATTTAAAATATCAAATTTCTTATTACGCTCTGCATTTCAAACTCATGCTACCATCCTAACTCCCTGTTCATATCATATAAAGACCCAAAGGTTTTCTAAACATATAAATTTTGAGGATTATACTAAATAGCACAACATTTTTAGAGCATGCCCAAGCACTAGCAGCCAAAGATATTAGTATATGTTCTTTCTAGAATTTTTATAATCACCCCTAGCATTTGCAACACAGATTACAAATTTCTGTCTAATTATTTATCATGCAAGAATATAAAAGATTAATTACACAAAATCATAAACCCAAAAACCTAAAGCTTCTCTCAGACATGTACAATTTAGTATTGCACTTAACAGCACATCATCTTTAAAACACGCACTACTAGAAGCCACAGACATCAAGATATGCTCTTTCTAGAATTTTCTCAACCACCACTACCATTTGCACCAAAGATTACACATTTATGTCTAAATTCTTTAGCATACAAGAAACTAAAGCATCAAGTGAAAACTCAAAAACCCAAAACCCTAACTCCAAATGTTCGGCTGTTTAAACTTTTTTCAATAGCCACCAGCATTTACAACAAAGATTACAAATTTCTACCCAAATTCTTCACCATACAAGAAACTAAAAAATCATTTACACAAAATCATAAACCCAAAACCCTAACTTCGAGGGACGAGAGAAAACATACCGTCGGCGGCT